CAGGATGGTCTCGATCTCTTGACCTCGTGATCCACCCACCTCGGCCTCCCAAAGTGCTGGGATTACAGGCTTGAGCCACCGCGCCCGGTCTGAATTTTTTTTTTTTTTTTTTTTTTTTTTTTTTTTTTTTTTTTTTTTTTTTTTGAGTTGGAGTTTCGCTCTTATTACCCAGGCTGGAGTGCAATGGCGCAATCTCGGCTCACCGCAACCTCCGCCTCCTGGGTTCAGGCAATTCTCCTGCCTCAGCCTCCTGAGTAGCTGGGATTACAGGCACGTGCCACCACGCCCAGCTAATTTTTTGTATTTTTAGTAGAGACGGAGTTTCATCATGTTGACCAGGATGGTCTCGATCTCTTGACCTCATGATCCACCCGCCTCAGCCTCCCAAAGTGCTGGGATTACAGGTTTGAGCCACCGCGCCCGGCTGAATTTTTTTTTAAAATGGAGTTTTGCTCTTGGTGCCCAGGCTGCCAGGCTGGAACCACAACCTCTACCTCCCAGTTTCAAGCAATTCTTCTGCCTTAGCCTCCTGAGTAGCTAGGATTACAGGCATGTGCCACCACCCCCAGCTAATTCCGTATTCTTAGTAGAGATGGGGTTTATCCATGTTGGTCAGGCTTGTCTTGAACTCCTGACCTCAGGTGATCTGCCCGCCTCAGTCTCCCAAAGTGCTGGGATTACAAGCATGAGCCACCATGCCTGGCCTAACCCAAATTTAATCACAAGAAATGTTACTTAATAATTGACCTGTGCTATTTAAAATGTCAAGGTATAATGTGAACTTTTTTGCCACACACAAAAAAGTCAAGGTCATGAAACACAAAGAAGGCTAAAAAATTGCCCAATTTAACAGAGACTGAAGAGTCAATGACTATTAAATGCAATGTGTGATCCTGGATTAGATCCTGAATTGAGGAAAAAAATAGTTGTCAAGGACATTACTGGGTGTAATTGATGAAACTGAATATGGATGATGACGTGAGCATGCATAGCAACCTGCCTGGAGCTACGGTGTGGGTAGTCCAGGGACACCAAGCCTCCACGCTCCAGCTAAGGCATTCACTCCCGAGCCTGGGGACTATGGCACCCAGCCTCTGAAGCTTCATGGTACCAGGATTTCTTTCATCTTCTGCTGCTTCCCTCTTCAAGCTTTTTTATTCATTCATTGGCATAGTCTGCTGGGAGAAGCAGCAGGAATGTCTGGAAGATTCTCCAGAGCCCCAACAGTCTGCCACCCTCACCTCTCACATCTACTTCAGTTCCAGTTCCTTCCCTGTCCCCACAGGGAAAGTCCATCCTAAACAAAGAGTTGGTCGTCCTGAGGCAGTGTGAGTTCAGGTCCCACTGGTACCCAAAGAGAACTTTCAACTGTGGAGTCCCTTACAGAGAAATACTTTCTGGAAACCACTCCTCTCCTCCCTGCTTCCTCCCATCCTGGCTCAGTGCCCAACCCTGGCTCCAGCACATACCTCACCAGGAGGGAGCACTCACCCAGTTCAAAGCAGCATATCTGCCCAAGAGAAAAAAGCAAAGTTAGCCAGGTGTGGTGGCTCACACCTGTAATCCCAGCACTTTGGGAAGCCAAGGTGGGCAGATTACAAATTCAGGAGATTGAGATAATCCTGGCCAACATGGTGAAACGCCATCCCGACTAAAAATACAAAAATTAGCTGGGCATGGTGGCACATGCCTGTAGTTCCAGCTACTCAGGAAACTTAGGCAAGAGAATTGTTTGAACCTGGGAGACAGAGGTTGCAGCGAGCCGAGATCACGCCATTGCATTGCACTCCAGCCTGGGTGACAATAGTGATCCACCTGCCTCAGCCTACCAAAGTGGCTGGGATTACAGGTGTAAACCACCATGCCCATGCCCAGCCTATTTTTTGTTGTTGTTGTTTTAAGAGATGGAAATCTTGGGGCCGGGCACGGTGGCTCAAGCCTGTAATCCCAGCACTTTGGGAGGCCGAGGCGGGTGGATCACGAGGTCAAGAGATCGAGACCGTCCTGGTCAACATGGTGAAACCCCGTCTCTACTAAAAATACAAAAAATTAGCTGGGCATGGTGGCACATGCCTGTAATCCTAGCTACTCAGGAGGCTGAGGCAGGAGAATTGCCTGAACCCGGGAGGCGGAGGTTGCGGTGAGCCGAGATCGCGCCATTGCACTCCATCCTGGGTAACAAGAGCGAAACTCCGTCTCAAAAAAAAAAAAAAAAAAAAAAAAAAAAGAGATGGAAATCTTGCCATGTTGCTCAGGCTTGACTTGAACTCCTGGCCTTAAGCGGTCCTTCCACTCAGCTTTTCAAGTAGCTGGGACAAGTGAATGCCACCCCTCACAAACTAACAGTAGCCGCTCACTGAGTACCAGCCCTGTTGTAGGCATCATGCTGTAAGTTTTACAAATGTTTGCTTTCATCCTAAGGATGTCCAGGTTACAATGGAGGAAGCCCAAGCCTCAGAGAGATTTAAATACTTCTCCGTACCTCCCACAAGATTTTAAAATGAAACCCAAATGGATTCACAACTAATTATATTTTTCAATGAAGAAATGTAGAATATTTGTATAACTGCAGGAATTGGAGACCTGCACAGGCCAGACTCTGTACTAGAAGACATAAAAAACACAGATTTGACTATATAAAATATAAAATATCGTAAAAGACACATTAAACAAAACTAAAAGACAATGAGAACTGGTAGCCCATAAAATAAGAATTGATATAACAAGAATGGATAACCCTAATATGCAAAGATTGCCTACAAATTGATTAGAAAAAGACAACTAGGAAAAGAGGAGCCATGTACAGTGGCTCATACCTGTAATCCCAGTACTTTGGGAGGCCAAGGCAGGAGGATCACTTGAGTCTAGGAGTTCAAGACCAGCCTGGGCAACACGGTGAGACCCCCATCTCTACATAATTTTTTTTTTTTTTTTTTTTTTTTTTTTTTTTTTTTTTTTGAGATGGAGTTTCGCTCTTGTTACCCAGGCTGGAGTGCAATGGTGCGATCTTGGCTCACCGCAACCTCCGCCTCCTGGGTTCAGGCAATTCTCCTGCCTCAGTCTCCTGAGTAGCTGGGATTACAGGCATGCGCCACCATGCCCAGCTAATTTTTTGTATTTTTAGTAGAGACGGGGTTTCACCATGTTGACCAGGATGGTCTTGATCTCTCGACCTCGTGATCCACCCGCCTCGGCCTCCCAAAGTGCTGGGATTACAGGCGTGAGCCACCGCGCCCGGCCAACTCTTAAACTTTTGAAAAGTGTATAGGGCTGGGAATGGTGGCTCACACCTATAATCCCAGTACTTTGGGAGGCTGAGGCACCTGGATCACCTGAGGTCAGGAGTTCAAGACCAGCCTGGCCAACATCGTGAAATGCCATCTCTACTAAAAATACAAAAATTGGCCAGGTGCAGTGGCATACGCCTATAGTCCCAGCACGGACGGAGGCAGGCGGATCACCTGAGGTCAGGAGTTCGAGACCATTCCACCGAACATGGTGAAACCCTGTCTCTACTAAAAATACAAAAATTAGCTGGTCATGGTGGAACATGCCTGTAGTCCCAGCTACTTGGTAGGCTGAGGCAGGAGAATCACTTGAACTCAGGAGGCGGATGTGGCAGTGAGTGGAGATCGTGCCACTGTACTCCAGCCTGAAGACAAAGCAAGACTCTGTCTCAAAAAAAAAAAAAAAAAAAAAAAAAAAAAAAAAAAAAAAAAATTAGCTAGGCATGGTGGTGCATGCCTATAGCCCCAGCTACTCCGAAACTGAGGCAGGAGAATCAATTTAAAGCCGAGAGGCGGAGGTTGCAGCGAGCCAAGATTGCACCACTGCCCTCCAGCCTGGTGCCAGAGCAAGACTCCTTCTCAAAAAAAAAAAAAAAAGAAAAGAAAGAAAGAAAGAGAAAAAAAATCAGCCAGGAAGAAAGAGAAAAAAAATCAGCCAGGCATGGTGGTAAATACCTGTAGTCCCAGCTACTCAGGAGGATCACCTGAGCCCAGGAGGTGGAGGCTGCAGCGAGCCATGATTGAACCACTGCACTCCAGCCTGGGCAACCAGAGTGAGACCCCGTTTCAAAAATAAACAAATATCTCACTGTTATACTGAAACTTACTTCATTTAATAAATAAATATAATACATAAATAAATAATACATTAAGAAACTTCTTCAAATTGAAGGATCACTATATATAGTTGCTCAGGTTCAACACTGCACAAAGGATCCAGGTGGAAGGTGTGTGTAGTATTCACATCGTACATGTCGGGGAATGAAGGTATGTGTGGAAACTGCAGCCCAAGTTCTGAAGCTACAGGGTAGAGGCCTCCCCTACTTAAAATCCACACCATACTGTGGCTCACACACACACTCAGAAGCGCCTGTATGCACATTGCTGACACTCTCATATGCACCACTGTGCCTCTCCCAGCCACACTTCAGGTGTCCCTACACTCTTGGAGACCCAATTCCTTACCCTTCCCCACTTTGAACCTGGTATAACCACTTTACTTAATGGAGGAATTCAGATTAAAGCAACGGTACAGGCTGCTGGGGACATCCATGCCCTGGTATTGGAGGGCAGGGAGCATGAACGATGAGAGTGTGGCATATGTGTGCCCTCAGCCAGGAAGACTGCAGTGCAGATGTTCAGGAAAGCTCTCTGCTGGGCACAGCCAGGATAAGGCTGCCACGCACAGTTGTTCAAGCTATGCGGTAATATACTAAATTTAACACAATTTTACCTGAGCAAGGGGCATTGTTTTCCAATTTGCACAGAGATGCCATATGGGCAGACAGAAGCCCCACTAGTAATTGACAGAGACAGAATCCAATCCCAGGCCCTGCTCCATTATCAGCTGTATGACTTTGGAGATAAAAATTGAATCATGGATGTTACAGCACTTTTTGAAAAGTCATAAATATAAGATATCGTTATAAACAATTCTCCAGTTCTCCAGCCAGCAGACTGCTGGAGATCATCTAATCTGTTCCCATTCTCTAGGCATATGAGAATACAGGCCACTGGGAGAGATTCACATCTGTGGTTTCTTCAAAAACACTGCAGCCCACAGTGATCTCTAATTTTTCCATTTCTATCACATTTAGGTCTGTACCAGGTATTTAGAAATCAGGGTAGTTTACTATGTCAGTAGTCTTTCTTTGAGTGGGTAAGGTATATATGTGTGGAATGTGTGTGTGTGTGCATGTGTGTGTCCTCAATAATACCTGAAACTCCCAGAAGACAGACATTACCCTTCTTTGCATCTCCTGTAGCACCTTACAGGTATTCATCAACTGTTTTCCCAGGTATCTTATTCTTATTCTTATTCTTATTCTTATTCTTATTCTTATTCTTATTCTTATTCTTATCGAGACAGAGTCTCACTCTGCAGCCCAGACTGGAGAGCAGTGGTGTGATCTCAGCTCACTGCAACTGCTGCCTCCTGGGTTCAAGCAATCCTCCCACATCAGCCTCCCGAGTAGCTGGGACTACAGGCACGTGCCACCACCCCCAGCTAATGTTTGCACTTTCAGTGGAGACAGAGTTTCGCCATGTTGGCCAGACTTGTCTCAAACTCCTGACCTCAGGTGATCACCAGCCTCAGCCTCCCAAAGTGCTGAGATTACAGGTGTGAGCCACTGTGCCCAGCCTAAGATATCACTGCCCCTGTATTCTAGATTTAAACAAATGAAAGCTCTTCTAATAGAGATGAAATTAAATAACATATAGATGACGCCTAGAGAGTACTTGGTCTACGATAGATGCTTACAAATATTTATTTCTCTTTACTCTCCTTATGATGCAGAAAAGATAAGAACATTCATTCAACAACATTCATTCAAGGCCATTTGTTAAATATCAGGCAATGTGCAGGGTATTGAGGATAAAATGATATGTAGAAGTCTTTCTCGAGTTTTGTGGGTCATCTGGCCAGAAAAAAATGGCCTTGATTGTGAACTTCCACGTTATGTGAAATTGTAAACAGGCACTTTTGGATGAAGCATAATGAAGGGATAATTGGATGTATTCATGATTTTCGAAGGTTGGAAGCAGATAGGAGATGGCAGTTCGGAAGGTGATTTTTTTTGTTGCTGTTGTTTTGTTTATTTTTAGGGAAGGTGATGTTTGAACAGGTCTTGAAGGATAACTAGGAGTTCACAGAGCTGAAAAGCTACGAGAGCACTATAGATAGAGGAAGCAGAATAAGAGAAGCCACTCTGAATTTTTAAAGTTAGTTGGAAAATAACCACCTTCTTGAACAGAATTATGACTCAATGCAATGCCAGGGAAATGACCCCAAATCAAAATCAGCTGATTGGAAGAGAGAAAAGCACTTCAGACCCAGACCCTCCATCCACCATGCCACCCTTATCCCACCCTTACGTCTCTTCTGGGCCTGACACTAGCCTTTACCAACTTGTAATTTAAAGGTGTTTGTGGTTTTCTTTCTTTCTTTTTTTAATGGAGTCTTGCTCTGTCACCCAGGCTGGAGTGCAGTGACACAATCTCGGCTCACTGCAACCTGGGCTCAAGAGATTCTCCTGCCTCAGCCCCCTGGGTAGCAGGTATTACAGGCACCTGCCATCACACCAGGCTAACTTTTGTATTTTTAGTAGATATGGGATTTCACCATGTTGGGCAGGCTGGTCTCGAACTCCTGACCTCAAGTGATCAGCCCACCTCGGCCTCCCAAAGTGCTGAGATTACAGGCGTGAGCCACCTTTGCCTGGCCATAAAGGTGTTTGTGGCTTTTTAAAGTATGCAAGTTATTATATTCCTTTATCTAGAAAAGAACTGTTTTTAAAGCCAAAGACTAACAGTTACAAGCAGCCTCAGGGATTTATTTTAAAACAGAATTTCCCCGAGGCCTGGAATTTGGTGTCTGGGTTCCAGACTTGGGGGTAATTGTTGGGCTCCCCTCTCAGACCCTGCCCTCCCACCCTGCACCATCTGTTCAGCAGGGCACAGCTTCCCAAAGGTCTGCCCGGTCCTCTCCTGGTAACCCTACCTGGGGAGAAAAGCTGCTCCTCTGACCCACCAGATCAAAGATAGAGCCCAAAGTGTTTACAGTATCAGCTTTCGCACCCCAAAGGGAACGGCTGTATTTTTCTCTATGGCTACAAAACCTACGGTGGCTTTGTCAATGACCGGCCCTGTTGGCACCTCCAGGCACAGGAGCCCAGCTGCTGCCCCAGCTCAGGGAGGAGGGAGGCTGTGGACAGGACGCCCAGCTCAAAAACAAAGCTATCAGCCCTATCTCTTCAGGGTACCAGCCTCGCCCTCACACCTGCCAGGCAGGGGCCTTCTCTTTCTCAGTTAGCTTCTTTGTCTGCCTGGTTCAGCACCAGGCACACTGGAGACTCCATGGCTTTGTGGTTTACCGGCAGCCAAGTTTTGTGACAAGACCTTGAGATCTGGCCTCAGGAGATCTAGGTCGTACTCTTCCTCCACCCGTGACCAGGTGCCTGTCTGAGCCTCAGTTTTCCCATCTTTAAATGATAGTAATCATCATATCTAACCAGGTTGCCTTTCAAGGCTGTTCACTCACAAGGGCAGCATCGTGGGGCAGCAGAGGCAGCGCAGGGTGGAGGCTGAGGGCTCAGCTCGAGCTTAACAGGAGCCAGGCTGTTATTTCCTAGTTATGTGACCCCAGGCAAGTTATGTAACTTCTCTGATGCCTCAGTGTTCCTCATCTGTAAAATGGGATTATAAGAGTTCCTGCTTCACAGGGTCATTAGGAGGATTAAATGAGATCATGTTTATAAACAGCTTAGGGCAGCATCTGGAGCATAATACAGCTTAGCCAGCATCTACGCTGTGGAAGGTGTGTGTGGGGGGGAAGGGGTTACAGAGATCAAAGACACCAAGCTCACAGCATGGTGACTGCGAAGAGAATCAAATGAAATAACAATTGCAAAGGCAAATCAGGTCATTAACCCCAAACGCACACCCCACTTCAAACATCGTGTGTGTGTGTGTGTGTGTGTGTGTGTGTGTGTGTGTGTGTCTCCACTGCATGCTGTGATACCTGCCTCTCTCTCCAGCCCCTTGGTCATTACCCTCCAGCCACACCAGACTCCTTTCTTGTCCTGGAACCTATCAGACTCTTTCCTGTCTCAAGCCTCTGCTGTCCTCTCTGCTTAAACAGTGGCTCCTGCAGAGAAGGCATCAGAATTTCCCAGGAGCTGATTAGAAATGCACATTCTCCAGCCCCTCCCAGACCTCCTGAATCAGAATCCCTGGGGTGGGCCCAGCAAGCCCGCTCTCTAGGGCACAGGTGATTCTGATGTGTGCTGAAGTTTAAGAACCACTGGCCGAGAACACTCTGTAAGTCTGCTTTTCTTTTGCCCGGCCCCTCCCTCATAGAGGAATTCCTTCTTCTTCCTCTCTGAAGAGTGCCTGCTGCCAAAAAACGTTTGTGAGATGGCCTGGGTTTTCTTTGTTTATTTGTCATTTATTTTGGAAGAAAATAGAAGTCTCTTTAAGAAGCCAGTTTGAAACATCTGCCCCATGGGAACAGTTCTGGATGAAGTCGGAAGATCTGGAGGCAGCGCAGTAACACACATAGGTTTTCTCTCCATTCAGACATTTCAGAGAAAACAACGCACAGAGGCCTAGAGCAGGTGAACTGGCTTAAGTAGAGCAAAACTAAGTCATGTGGGGATATTTAGCACCTAATGTAAAGGCAGAAATGTCAAAGATGTAATTAACAGTTATATTCTAATCTCAATAGTAGCTAAGTACAGACTTAACCATAAGCCTGGATATAACAAATAACCCCAGGAGAGCCAAAGAAAAGTAGAAGGTTGCTGCTAAAACATTTATGTTAGTGATACCTAGAAAGGTGGGTTTTTTTTCTTTTAACATAACATGTCATCGTGGTTTACAGACGAAAAATGAAACTTCACCAACGTATGGCTGTTGCCTAAATAATTCGTAAATGCCTGTATATTGTAAATTGCAAGTATACTGCTGACATGTGTCGGTCTGCGTTGCCCTGGTGGACATCACCACACTCACCTGACAGGCAGCAGCTACCTTCCAGTAAAATCAAGGAATCTGAAAGGAATGGAAAAGGCTATACATGGTGCCATTTTATAGAAGGAAATGCAACAGGGTCACAGACCAGGAGGAGAGCAGCACAGGCTGGCTGGGCATGGAGGAAGGTCCAGGCTGTGGCTGTGCACAAACAGACCTCCTCATCCAGTGCGCCTCTGAAGACATAATGCAATTGTGCAGGGCAGAGAAGCCACAAATAGAACAAAGGGAGGAAAGGAAAAATCAATACGCAGTAAGAGGAGGAACGGAGCCCGCCGCGATGTCTGAATCTTGCTGGCAAGAAAAGGAAACAGGTGGTCTAAGTGCGCAGCCCTTCACCCCACACTGCAGTGCCCAGGCATGGACGTGTTCCATGGATCACTCACTGAGAAGTCTTCGCAAAAACACTCAAAGGCAGACACTACTATCCATCTTCCACACATTGGGGGACTGAGAGTCAGAAGCTTGTTCAAATTACTAAAAAAAAGCACTGAGATTTGAGCCCAGGGTCCCAAGCTCTTTCTAAGCCACCATAGCTGCCTGGTCTATGAGGCCACTCCCCGAATATGAGCCTCAGCGAGTTTGGGAGCAGATGGGACCATTTACCTGCGTTATGGAGTTGGTTTCCCCAGGCGAATCCACCTGGGAAACGGCCTCTGGGGAAACTTGACTCCTTCCCCTCCCTACCCTGCACAAAGCGATGCTATCTCTGCAAGCAGTCAGTGGGAGAGCTGCAAGTGGCCTTCACCAGGGCGTCAGGAAAGGGACACCTTTCTCCTTAGCTCTCTGTTCCCCACTCTTCCTGGAGGGTGTGTTACAGAGAAAAGGGGCACTCAGAGAAGAGAAATGACAGCCTTGGGGGTGCCCAGCATTAGAATCCGCATTCATTCGTAGTTGGGCCCTTCCCAGGGGTAAGTGGGGACTCCCTTTTACTGCTCCACACCCTGAGCCCCTGGGACCCAGTAGAGCCCCCCTCCCTCCTTTCCACCCTGCAGCATTTTTCACTGGAGAGTAAAACAGAACTCAATAAATCAAAGTGGTTTCCCCAGCAACCGTGGGAGAAAAACAGGTTTACTTACGCCAGGTAAATAATGCATGAGCTCGGGCTGAGAAATACAGTGACCAAGTTCATGTTACTAACAGGTTCACTGAACCTCCAGGCTGGGCTTTGGAGCTGCAGTCTCAGGGGATAAGGTTGCAGTTCCCCGCCAGGTCCTCCTCTCCAAAGGAATCCTTTCTGTATTCAGGCTTTTTGTTTTTTGGGCATTTTTTCCTTTTACCCTGGTCTCACTGTGCTATATCCTCCTCCCAAAATCAGATTGCCTCTGCCTTCGACAGCCAAGAGCCTAGGCACCCATTCTCTCAGAGACTTCTACTTTAAAGACGGGATTTATGGGGAGAGGCTGGATTTAGCAAAGTCAGGCTGGCTCCCTTGTCTCCTCGGGTCTGTCAGAAGGTGGTTGGCTTCCAAATCCATTCGGTATACCTACCAGGTCAGCCAGGTCCCCACGCTCCCTGGCACAGATGGGCTGCCAAGAAGAAATGCAAACTGAACCAAATTGTGAAACAACTTGTGATAAAGACTGTGTGCTCCTCCCTACCCCCACGCCCCGACTGATTCTGAATCTCCATCTCTCCCCCCTCTCGGAGGTTTGACTTTCTCTGATTTGTACTCTGAGAGTAAGTTCTTAAAAAAAAAAAAATTATAAATACTAAATTATAGTATAATGTAGATAAATCTTTTTTCAAACTTCCCTTCCCTCTCCCAATCTAACATGCCCCCAACCATGTCCCCACCCTAAAGAGAATCTCTCATTTTTAGATGATAGAAAAATTGGCTGGGTGCAGTGGGTCACATCTGTAATCCCAGCACTTTGGGAAGCTAAGGCACGTGGATCACCTGCGGTCAGGAGTTTGAGACCAGCCTGGCCAACATGGTGAAACCCCGTCTCTGCTGAAAATACAAAAAGTAGCTGGGCGTGGTGGTGCACACCTGTAGTCCCAGCTACTCAGGAGGCTGAGGCAGGAGAATTGCTTGAATCCAGGAGGCGGAGGTTGCGGTGAGACGAGATCACATCACTGCACTCCAGCCTGGGAGACAGAGCAAGACTCCATCTCAAGAAAAAAAAAAAAAAAAGAATCTAGTTCCCATGGAAAAAAAAATTAAGAAGTTGCCTCAACACAGGCAATAAGATTTAGGCAACTACTGCCATTTATTCTGTCTATTCCAACATATTTATGCTATTTCAAAATGTTCTAAAAGCCAACCTTATATGCAGTATCAAAGTGTTAATGAGTAACTGTCTCTGGAAATCCTGTGATTAAAAGCCTTCCTGTTCCTCAGGTGGAAAGGAAGTAATTCACATTGACAACAGATGCAGCCCCTGATGCAAAATGAGGCAAGTCTTCAGGGAGTATCATAGCAACCTCATTGGTCTGTGAAAATTACAGCAGTTTCGCATGAAAACCTGAAAACTGAACAGCCAAATCTGTTAGAAACACTATAGGGGGAAAAAAGCCCCCAAAGCAAATGTAAATAAGACAACTTTAAAAACCTTCAGGTTATTAAAGCAGCTTAGGTGCAATCAGAGGATAAAGCAAGGTCTAGCGCGTGACTGAAATACAGTATGATGTTTGGTCAGGACTACATAGATGCTTAGTGGATTCAGGATCATGCATTCATACTGAACATTATGACAGGCCGTAAGAAATGAACGTGCTCGGTAACAACCAACTGACGAAATGACTGAAGGAATCATTGGGGGACGTGCCACCCTGTCTGCCACAGATCCTGCAAACAGGTATGTAATGATGACACAGCAGTAGTCAGCCATCAAATGTGGGCTGATAAATGGATTCGTGCAATATGATAGCCCAACCTGAAGAATGCTTCAGAAAATTGCCACCACAAAATGTACTGGGATTGAGTTGTAACAGCGGATCAGCAAATCCTGTCCCACTGAGCAAACAAGTCTGTTGGAGAATATGAATAACTACTGTGGAAGTTATCGACAGAAACACAAAAGTCTTATAGAACATCACAGAACTTTTAAAAAAAAAAACAAAAAAACAAAACAATGCATGTCTCCAGCAGAACAGCCCTAGAGTAACTACGGAACCTGAGAAACTCTTGCAGTAAAATCTGCTGTCCCTTTGGGAGCTGGAGAGGTTTCCAGACACTCACTGCCCATCTTTTGGGTATCAGGACCTAGCACACTTTGGCATCCATTCAAAAGGCGGTACATCCAGACAATTGCCATATCAGCATGACATCCCTGTCCCAACGCAGATTATTTCCACACTGTTAGCTATAAATCCCTCAGGGACTGTTACAAGTTATACAAAAACAATCACATTATACCTTAGAGTTTTACAGTATCTATAGTACTTTCAAAGCACGATTGCACTTTTATTAAACTTTTTTTCTGTTTCTTTTTTTTTTTTTTCTTAGAATCAAGGATCTCATTCTGTTGCCGAGGTTCGAGTGCAGTGGTGTGAACATGCCTCGCTGCATATTTTTGTTTCTATGCTCTCATTTGACTACCCACAAGAAAACTGGGCTTGGCCAGATGCACTGGCTCACGCCTATAATACCAGCACTTTGGGAGGCCGAGGCGGGTGGATCACCTGAGGTCACGAGTTCGAGACCAGCCTGACCAACACGGAGAAACCCCATCTCTACTAAAAATACAAAATTAGCCAGGTGTGGTGGCTCATGCCTGTAATCCCAGCTACTCAGGAAGCTGAAGCAGGAGAATGGCTTGAACCCGGGAGGCAGAGATTGCAGTGAGCCAAGATCGAGTCACTGCACTCCAGCTTGGGTGACAGAGCAAGACTTCGTCTCAAAACAAAAAATAGAGGAATCGCATGGGGCTCATAGACAGGCTCTGTCACAGAGACCCCTCCCCCAGGACAAACATATCCCTGTCCCAGTTGAGAAGCAGGAGGAGACTACAAAGTCTAACATGGGAGAATTGCCTGTGGGAGGCCAGGAATTTGAGACCAACCTGGGCAACATAGCAAGACCCCATCTCTATGAAAATTAAAATATTAGCTGGGGATGGTGGCTCGCACCTGTAGTCCCAGCTACTCTGGAGGCTGAGGTGGGAAGATGGTTTAAGCCAAGGGGTTCAAGGCTGCAGTGAGCTATGATTGTGCCACTGTACTCCAGCTTAGGAGATAGAGCAAGACCCTGTCTCTAAAATGTTAAAAATAAAACAATAATTAAAAAAAAAAAAAAAAAAAAAAGAGGAAGACTTCTTTAAA